ATGTGTTCCAACTACTACTGTTACGGAATAATAAATACAAAAAATAAAGAACACAGAGATTTTACGCGAAAAACACCTGGCTTAAAAGGTGAAAAAAACACGATCTACCTTCCAGCAGGATTTTCCCAAACTCTCCACTAAAATCATGAGCCAAAAACTACATTTACAAAAAAAACTCTTTTGTAAACCTAGGATTAACTCTAATCCCGTTGTGGCACACATCCTCAACTGTTGCGACAACTTCAAGTTAACTCTAACTTGAAAACTCTAATTACCTAATACAATTGCTTCTAAATAAGCTGAAAGGTACAATATAAAATCACCTACTACAATTGAACTAGAATAAAAGATAGACACTTAGAATTGGTTCTTCTATCGGGTTCAAGTAGCTTCAGGTTTGCACGCTTGAATCATACAAAAATTGCTTGCAAAATTGCCTTGATATTTTGCTCTCAATTCACGTTTAACTTCTGCTTATGTGCATTACCTGTAAAAGAGAACAACACTAATATTTGAGTTAGAAATTAGAGATTGACTAGGATACTGATGCTACTCTTTCATGGTGGAAGAGTTCTAGCTGATCTCATACTCTAACTCTATCATTTTCCTAAACCGTGTTCTCTTTGCGTGAGTCTTTCTCCTTATCCAATATGTAACCTTTTCGATCATGATCAGCAGATATCACTTCTGATAAGTTAGGTTTGTCTCCTTCACGTGCATCTCACATGTTTGAGTTGATCATAACTATGCTTCACAAGATGGACCTGGTCCATGTCTGAGTTCCTTTGTCAGTCTTCAAAACTTCGCCTTTACTTGGGCCAACAGAAAAACTCATAGATAAAAGATGTATATGTTGAAGGACTTGATTAATTAGTTGTACTTGTGTTTATTATTCGTTTGAGCAATATTTATGGTGTTCATGTTGCCTTGCTGTTTATGTCACAAGTTGATTAATTGTTTCCATCACTGCTATTTGTTTTCCGTTATTTTGTAAGCTACATCGCACAGGTTATTTGACTAGTGAGTGTCTTGACTGTACCTCGTCACTACTAGTCCACCGAGGTTAGTCTTGATACTTACTGGTACCGATTGTGGGGTACTCATACTACACTTCTGCACAATTTTTTATGCAGATCCAGGTACCTTAGTGTTGTTGATAATCTTACTAATTGATCAGACGTTGTTGTGGAGACTTAAAGTATATCTGCTATCGCGTTCATAGGTCTCAGAGTCACTTTCTGATATTTTCTTGCATTGTTGATTCTATTCTGGCACAGTTGTATTTAGAGATTTTCTAGTAAACTCTCTAGAGCTTGTGACTTGTACTACCGATTTTGAGAATTGTAGGAAATTTCTGTCTCTTATTTAAACAAAAAAAATCTGGTTGATTTATTATCATTTCACTTGAACTATTAAAAATGGTTGAAATTATTCTAACGTTGGCTAGCCTAGCAAGTGTAATGTTAGGCGTCATCACCGTTCTGAAAGTGGGAATTTCGGATCGTGACACCTTGTCTTTCTTCTTCTTTCCTATATTTTTTCCTCTTTTCTACTGTACTCTGCTCTACTAAAATATTTTCTATATTAAGGTGATGTTTACATTCTTCATGGTTATAGGAATCTAACATTTGCAAGTTCGCTAGCACAGCTAATCCATATATTTTAAATCTTCTCCCCCCTCCCCAGCCTGCTGTTTTTATGTAATAAGTATAATCCGCAGAGTTAGTTCACATTGAAACAGCCACCTATATTAAGATGATTATGATTTTTATACACAAGATACAGGAGAGATCATTAATTTGTGTTTAAAGAAGATCATTTTGTTTTCTTTGCTCTTTTCCTTTTTCTTATAATGATAATCAAATCGTTCACTCTATTGAAAACGTAACTCCCATATTAAGATGATTTTAACCTTTAACCAATTTTCATCAAACTTTTTTGGAAATTGTCTACACTTGGATGCTTTCTTCTCTTAAAAGATGATACTACATAAAGTCACTACCTTCAATAATTTTAAGTTTTCGCACTGAAAAAGAAAAACAATCATTTCAGAAAAAGGGAAGATCCTATTGCTTGTTGGATCAATGACAAAATTGACCGTATCTTAGAGCAGTATAAATTGACATCCGTTCATAACCATTTCTCATTCACAAAAAAACACATAATTTCACCTAAGGTTCCTAAAGTTCAAGAAAGATGTCAAGAAACCTTCCTACCTACACTTTATTAGCAGTCATTTTGATGGTAATTTCTTTGGTTTTAGGTTTTGCAAATGCAGAGGTTCAATGCAGTGATGTGATATTGAAGATAATCCCATGCCAAAATTTCTTAATGAGTGGAGAGTCGTCCCCTAGTGTTGCCTGTTGCAGTGGAGCACAAGCTCTTGACAAAGAAGCCGCCGCGTCTCAGCCGGACCGTCAGGCTATATGCGGCTGCCTGAAGTCTGCTGCACAAGCTTTCCCTGTAAACGTTGATAAAGCAGCACAACTCCCTACCCTCTGCAAACTTACTACCAAAATACCCATCAACCCTACAGTTGATTGCTCCAAGTAACTTCTTCTCGCGCTATTATATCTAGAATGTGTGACATTTAGCCGATGAAAATATAACCAACTGATCAACTCGTCCAAGTTTGGACGGGTTGGGTTGGACATATATTCATTGGCGGCTCGATTTGTGTATAATCCAAGCTAGGCCATCTAAAATTTTGGGCTAATATGAATAGCTTATGTAGCCAAGTGATCCATGTGAAAAATTATCCAAGCTTAGAAAAATAATTTTTTTGGGTTTGGTTAGTTAGATCTAGTCTGGATAGGATTATGATCTATTAACTTAGCTTAAATTGACCCACCTATCTAGATCCATAGAAATTTTGGGCGGATATGACCTAACACCTTTGTTTATTAAATTTATTTAGGGAAAATATCATCTATGTTCATTTATAAGTAACTTATTATAAAAATTGACCAATTCATAAAATATTACTAATATTGGCCAATTAGCTATGTGTAGCCAAAAAAGGTTAAATTTTTGCTTTCTTTTAGGTGTTATTAGAATAGATTGGGTACACTTTAAAGTGCTTGAATCTCAGTTTTGGGATGATTTGGTTGAGTTTTGAGGTGGGTTGAATTGAAAAATTTTGAAGTAGAAGATGAACATAAAAACAAAATTATAGGTGTATTACACTCTGTATCATTTGTGTATCACATTGTGTATCGTATTTGTATCAAATGTGTATCACATGTATATCCATATATACATGCGTGTGAGATACATGTGTGATACATGTTTGTGTGTCATAGAAGAATTTTTTGAACTCGATCTTAACTACGAATTTTGATACAAAATTAATCCAAACCACCTCTAATCTTCCTCAAATTTTGTATATTGACTCATCTATATATTTTCAATGAATCACAACCATGTCCATTGAAAAAATCTTTTTTTGCTTAGATTTTTGGAATCTTGTATATATATATATTTTTTTATATTTCATCACCTTATTTGCTACCTCATCCATGAAATTTCCTTTACGTCTTAGATTTAATGTGGCTAATCACACTTAAAAATATGGAAAGAGATTTTTATGTGTGATTCTTGGAAAGAAAGAACCTTACTTATGTGGATTTTTAATTTTTATATGTGCTTGACTAGTTTTAGTAAGTCTATAATTAATAGCTAGAGGTTTAATGAGTAGAGGTTGGTAAGTTGGGACTTGTTTGGGACATTTATGTAAGATTCCTTCATTTTAATCCGCTCAAATTTTGTTCAATCAGTCCATTAGACGCTTTCCTAAATATGAAAGATTGCTATAATGTTTAGTAAATAATTACTACAGCTCAGGGTGGAGTCACGACGGAGTGACAGTCATTGTCCTAAATTTTTCAAATTCATTTTTTTGGTCTGTAAACTACTTACGTTGAAGTATGTGTTTTCACTTTTCATGTTGCTTAATTTCTTTCAAATAAACACCACAATTCTTTTCCCCTAGAGGGTGTCACCAGATTTTTAAAATTTGGTTTCGCCAGTTATCAATATCATCTTAGAAATTATATAATCTATGGATGTTTGCCTTGTAGCTAATTACCTTTTTCTTCTTTTGACGGTAGGATTTGAAGGACAAGTGGAATTCTTAGCAAGGATTTGAAGAAGTGCTATACCAGTTTTTTTCTATGAATATAATGTGGTGCTAAAGGACTCTATACACTATCCCAAATCCGTTTTAAAATTATGTAGTATCGCTAATTGATACGCATATTAATACGAAAATATATGGTTGAAGCTTAGTAAATCTATCTTTCTGATCCATACACTATTTCTCTTCTCCTTCCATCCTTAGAATCACGATTTAAACGTTATGAGTTTGAGTTTAATTAAGACGAAAGCCTCAAGTTGACATGCAAAAATTATAGGATCAAGTTGCAATTATCGATTTTCAAGTCCTAATGACATGCCATTCCTTATATTCATAGATGATGCACCTATCATTCCATGATCCTAATTTCGAATGAATTAACTTGAGAAAATGAAAATTCGAAAGGAAAGTTATACTGTTTCAGATAAAAATGAGAATAATCTTCAATCGAAAGGAAAAAAATGTCGTCTTCTTCAACTAAAGATTCATTTGAACGGGTTAAGATTTTATTGTGTAGAGGGATTCTGTGGAATTTGAATGATGCATAATGCATCTAACACGTATACTAGACGAAGCAACTGATGACGTTTTAACTTCGATATTCATGACTTGGCTCTTCTACAGAAGGCTTACAAAATCTCACATATAATTTGCTAAATTAGAGAAATAAACAACTGCACACATATATTTCATATAGAGGACAAATATACGACACCAAATTAAATCTAATTTCTTCCAGAGAACAAACTGAATAACCACAAACTAGTTTTGTAACAATTTGTGTCACAATAATCTAACAAGGCAACAACAAAGTCTAGAAGTAATTTAAAAAAATGAATAGGAGAAACGTGGGCCACAAATACATCTAAAACTTGGTGAAGAAATATTCAACATTATCCTGCTCAGTCGGATTTTCTCTGTTTATAGGAACTAGGCTCTCCTTATAAGTTATAGGCCAAATGCTGCCGGATCCTATATCAGTAAAATTAAAACCAAAAACTGTAACTTCTTTAGCAGTGTGGTTATAATACACAATATTATAAGTTTGTGTCATTTCATAAATAAACTTGTCGTACTCCCATATGCCAAGAGGCCAATGCCATGTTATTGGAGGATTAACAGTATAAACTTTGATCCAATTATTCTCTCCAATTCTTGCCCATATATCATAACACGATGTCTGAGGCTGAGCCATTTCATCACAAGACATAGCAGCGAGAGAGCCTCCGCGCAACATCAGAGCCCCCCAGTGTTCGCCTGAAATTGGTGGTCCTTCCATTTCCCCGAACAGCTCGGTCACAAAGTCGAACGTTGTAATGCAATATACATTGTCTTTGTCTAGGCACAACCAACAATAAACTCCATTTAGATGAGTACTATCAAGGGACTCACACAAGTTACTATCGTAAGGAAAATTCGGGTCCAGGTATTTCCAGGAGTCATTGTTCGACGAATAGATAGCAGCAAACACCTTAGGATAAACCTCGTTCTTCTCTTCATTCGTATATATTCGTAGAGATAAAACTTTATAATCTTGATTCACTGAATCTAACCCTATTGCAACAACACGACATGTTCATCGAAAAATCTCTGAAGCTCAAATTGTACCATAGGAATAATCCTACACTCTTTAGTAGCAGGATTCCACCAACCAAACCGAACATTAAGTAGAAAATTCCTTTCTCTAATAGGAATAAGCCATCAACAGGACCATAAATACCTCTAAAATCACTAACACCTTCGCAACGATAAATCCTCTGACGAGCAGGGACGACGCTTGCAATTAATTTTTCAGGTAGCAAGAAAAAGTTAATAGCTCTTAAAGGAGGCTGTGGTCTATAGTCTACACCGAACTTACAAAACCAGAGACGAGCACGATTACTCTCGCTGTTAAAGTGCTTCTTGATAAAACTCGAGCTTTTAATAAGATCGTGCCAGCTTTTACTTACACATTTGAATAGCAACAGTGATTTCACGGCTAACCTCAATAAAATATCATTTACTGTTTCTTCTCGTGAATAGCTGTCAATACTAGTTGTCATTCTGCTCCTGGAATTATTTCCTACAATATATGCAAAAATCTTGGTTATGTTTGAGGTTTACATAAACATATAAATACTTATAACAAATGGTACCGAATTGATGAAGTAAATGCCTAAAATCAACAAATAAATAGAGAACTGGTAACCCAACCTTATATGAAGATGAAGAAGAGACAGCGTCTGTTCGTGTGATAGAGAAGTTAAACAAGACAAAACAGAGGGCAGTTACAAATGTTAAAAGTGTTGCGGAAGCCAAATGTATATCGTGTGAATGAGTCACAACTACTATACAAAAAATATGGCAGCCACTAAATAATAAACAAGACAATAAAGCAATAATAAAAGGAACACCAGAATTTACGAGGTTCGGCCAATTTTGCCTACTTCCTCGGACACAACCAATATTTTATTCCACTCCAAAATACAAGTGAAATAACACTAAAGAGAGAAGATACAAATGTCTTAAGAAGATAAGAAGACAAATGAGAGGTGTGTTTAAATCCTAAACATTAGGCCTCCTTTTATAGGGAAAAATTCCCTACCAAAAGGCTAACCCAACGATGTGGGATTTGCCAAATTCAACAAATCTCCACCTTGACAAAATTCCACATCTTCAATTTTTTCTCTCAATAACAAATTTTGGTTCTTCAATCTTCAGTGTTCAACAATGTTGATCAAATCCAAACAATGTTGAAACTTGACCGCAGTCACCACTTTTGTCAGTATATCAGCAGGATTCTCTGTAGTATGAATTTTCTTCATCGTGACTCCACCTTCTTATATGATTTATCGTACAAAATGATACCGAACATCAATGTGCTTCGTCCTTGCATGATAAACTTGGTTCTTCGCTAATTGAATAGCACTTTGACTATCACAAAACATTGTGATACTTTTTTGTTCAACACCAAGCTCCTTTAGCAATCCTTGAAGCCAAATGGCCTCCTTTACAGCCTCTGTAATAGCCATGTACTCTGCCTCTATTGTAGACAAAGCAATTGTTGACTGCAAAGTAGACTTACAACTAACTGGTGCTTTTGCAAAAGTAAACACATAACCAGTAGTTGATCTTCGTTTGTCCATATCACCCGCAAAATCTGA